CCAAAGCAGCCAGGGAGCTCAGGTCCCGAGTCACTTATATGAACTACGTATGGGAGAGTGAATGTATGGATGGTCACTGCGAAGATACACAGGCTACTATTGCTGCATCCCCCCATTCATGCATGCATACGTACATAAATATTATGAGCTATTGACGTAGGCATTGAATTGGCTGCTTCCACGTGACCGTGCTCTTTTCACCTCCAACTCCGCAAAGTGAAGCAACCGCATTCAATAAGAAGATATCAACAACGGACAAGATAGACAACAGAGGCAAGAGAGACAAGAGATATCATATCTCTACGACCTCCCTGATCCCACTCCCACTCAACCTGCTCAACTACTCACCAGGTTCTCTCATTGCTTCTCTGGCCTCTCCCTCTATAACTCCTATTTATGCAATATACCCGTTACAGGCTCGCCTCCACTTCCAGGTCAACTCATATCATATCATACACACCAGGGACCTCACCATGCCTCCTCCAACTGCTCCCATCCCTCCTCCTTCTCTAGCTATAGCTTCACCTCCGGCTCCTGCTCCAGCTCCAGCACCAACGCCAACACCTTCAACGAAGGTCCCGCAGAAACGACACTCCCCTTCCCCCTCCGCCTCCCCCTCACCACAAATGAAACCAGACCCAGAAGCAGTAGGAGTAGTGCAACCAGAACCCGCGCCCTCACTGTCCCTTGCACATGCTTCAAATTCAAATTCAAATCCAGATCCATCTCCCAAACGCCAACGAAAACGCTACCATCATTACCACTCTCTCCACCACCGCTTCACCCACAACCTCCCCGACGACGCGCTGACAGCTGACTCTGCAGTCGATACACTGCTAAACCTATCCATAGGCCTGCTGCTGCTCCAGAGCGGGTTTACGCATGCGGAACCTGTGGCATTGGACGGGTTGAGGAGAGGGGTTGAGGAGTGTATGTTAATTTTTTTTTACTCATTTTCATTTTCTTATTGCATTTTACATGTAGGATTTTGGCCTGTGTTTTTATGGTATGCTAATAGTATGTTAATTGGTATATGTATGTTGTGTTGCGTAGACATGCTACACTTCCTAGCGTACACGCGCCAATCCATGGCCTCCTGCCGGCGCACGCAGCCCATTCCCATCGATTTCCAGCACGCGCTGCTCTATGCCAATATTCCCGTTGACTCACTCCGAGCATATCTCAAACTAACTATGCCGACTCATCCGGCAGCGGCAGCGGAGGGAATAATAACAATACCAGCAACCCTCCCCTCCCCGCCACCCTCCTCCCCACCACCGCACACCAATCTCCCCTTCCTTGGTCCCGAACTCATCTCTCCAACCTCCATTGACCACGACAGACAGGACCAAGGAGCAATACGAACGCATATTCCCAAACACTTCCCTACGTTTCCCAGCAAGCACACGTACCAGGAGACGCCAATGTATATCACGCGTGAAACGGATCCGAGGAGGATTAGGGAGAAGGCGACGGAGGAAGGAAGGTTGGGGGAAGAGGCATTGAGAAGGTTGGCGAGGGTCGCGAAGGAGTGGAGTGGGAGTGGTTCTGGTGCCGATGGTGGAGGGGAGTATAGGGAGAACATGCTTTGGGGGAGGAAGGGGGAGAGTGTGGAGGGGATGTTTGAGAAGACTGTTAAAGCGGTTTCGAGGGGAGTGGTGAGGAGGGAAGAGCAACAGCAACAGCAAGGCAACGGTGGGGATGAGATT